AGGAAAGGAAAAGGAAAGGAAAGGAAGAAGAAAGAGGAAAGGAAAAGGAAAGGAAAGGAAGAAGAAAGAGGAAAGGAAAAGGAAAGGAAAGGAAGAAGAAAGAGGAAAGGAAAAGGAAAAGAAAGGAAAGTTGAAAGAAAAGGAAAGGAAAGATGAAAGGAAAGGAAGAAGAAAGAGGAAAGGGAAAGGAAAGATGAAAGGAAAGGTATACTGTTATCAAATAGATAATCAAGAATGTAAGGGAACTATGATTTATTGGGGAAAAAAATAATACTAATCGTAATTGAACATTTACTGCACAATGAAAGCGAGGCATTTAGTTATACTAGATGAAAAATCTGTGATGGTAAATGTTATTCGAGAATATGGATGTTAAAACACCTGTAACCAAACGACATGCTGTATGTGATGATGCTTTTTTGTTGTTGTTGTTTTCTTTTTTATTGTTGTATGTATGTGTTGTCTGCGTAATAAAAATAAAAAATTATATATATATATATAAAAAAGAAACCGTAGGGTCTTCGACGGTACTAACAAAGAGAAAAACCACCTTCAATTTCCAATCTTGAATAGAACAGGACTCACAATGAATAAAATGCAACACTTACATTCTCCGAGGAGGCATCCCGCCAGATTTTCATCAACCCAGACTCCACACAGGTGATAAGGGAACTGCAAGCAGCAGGGGGGGGGGGGGGAGGAAACAAAGGCAGAAAAATATTTTTCAGTGCAAGATATAAGATGTCTGAAGTGGTATAGGGTTTCCTGCTTAAGCAAGGGGTTGGATTAGACTTCCAAGGTGCTTTCCAACTCTTATTATTCTATTCTATTCAAATTCTATTTCTATTCCATTCTAATTCCTATTCCTATCCTATCCTAATCCCATCCCGTTCTTTTTCATTTCTGTTCTGTTCTATTCTATTAATCCCATTCCCATTCTATTCTGAAATACAGAAAGGAATCCAATATGGTTTGTGTTCTGAAAGCTTCCAGGCTTTCCCACCCATTTGAAAGTTCAAGATCCTGGCCCAAACACCCACAAGTCCCATCACGTGGTCCAACCTCCCACTGCCACGAAGACAGATTCCTCCCAACCAGTTCCGGCCAGGTACAGAGGCAAAGATGACCTTGACTTTCTAAGAAGAATGTTGTTATGGCTGCATATCACCCAACTCCATATAATCCCCCCCTCCCATTTTCCCACAGTAGAAAGTGTGGCAGGCCTGAAGTCCAAAACAGAAAAGATGGCTTGCAGGCATGACAGGAGGAAGGGTGGGGGGGGGAGGGAAGAAGGAAGGAGGGAAGGAAGAGAGGGAGGGAGGTAGTAAGGGGGAAGAGAGAATGAGGAAGGAATGGATGGGAAGAGGAAGGAAAAGAGGGAGGAAGGAAAAGGGGAGGAGGAAGGAAAGAATGGATGGGATGCGTGTGTGCGAACCGGTAGTGAAATTGATTTCACCTCTGGTTTCGAGAGCAGGTGTGCAAAAGTCTTTATACTTGTGCGATGCCTATTTCCAAGTCAGTCTTCATCTCTTTCCTACCTCAAGTAGGAAGCGGAAAAACTTTTCCCAAGAGAGGGAAAAATGAAATGGGATTCGCTCTTACCCATCAAGGACAGCTAAGCCACAAAAGGCTCCTTCACCTCCGTGGCAGTCCCGTGATTCAATAAACTTGCCCTTTTCGGTACTGAATAATCGAACGGATCCATCGAGGCATCCCACAAAGATCTGTGTGGAAAAAGAAAGCCACGGGATTCTTTAGGCCCGTTACGAATCTCCGTGACTCTGGGCAGGCAAACAAAGACACGACAATCAAATCAATTGAATATAACAATTGGCAGGAGGGATGAAGAGGAGGGTCCTCATTCTTCCTCGCCTAAAGTCTGCATGAAACCAGCAAAGCACAAGCAGAATCGGAAGATCACGTCACCTCTGATTCGTACGAATCACCCCAACACATGGAGGTGACAGCTTCTCGTCGACTGACAGTTGTTTCCCCCATCCTATAATTCGTGGCCTGTTTCTTCTGCAGGTTGACTCCTAAAAGTGGGGAAAGGGACATCACATGACAGGAAAGAATAAGGGGGGGAAAAATCAATATAGCAGCCTATTTCCTCCCCTCCCCTTAACCTTCCAGCAAGAGACAATCTCGTCAATAAAGTAGAATATTAGAGACCAGCAATCAACTCAAGAGACAATGTTGCTGGATGATGGACCAAGAGGCCCCTTCAGATGATCTCCAATTTTACGCGGGAGAAAACCCGAATAACTAGAGACCTACATATATGTGTGTGTGTGTGTGTGTGTGTGTGTGTGTGTGTTGTATGTATGTATGTATATATGTATGTATGTATATGTATGTATGTATGTGGTGTCACAACCCTTGGTATGCCCAAATATGTATGTATGTATGTATGTATGTATGTATGTATGTATGTATGTATGTATGTATGTATGTAGTGTCACAACCCTTGGTATGCCCAAATATGGGAGGAAGCATACTGCTTCCTTTCTGTCTATCGGCTCATCCCAAGGGACCATCCAGACAGAAAGCCATTATTTTTACTGTTGCCTTTGTTACATTTGTGTTGCATTTGTGCTGATAAATAAATAAAGGGAGACTAGTATAGATCTATTTCAAGCTATTTAGCTCTCATCATTTAAATCCCAGTAAGGGTATGGCTAGCTGATGAGAGCTAAATAGCTTGAAATAGATCTATACTAGTCTCCCTTTATTTATTTATCAGCACAAATGCTACATATATATAGTAGGTGGGTAGATGGATGGATAAATGGTAGATATTAGATAGATATTAGATGATAGATGGATGGATGGATGGATGGATGGATGGATGGATGGATGGATGATATTAGATGATAGATATAGGTAGGTAGGTAGGTAGGTAGGTAGGTAGGTAGGTAGGTAGGTAGGTAGATAGATAGATAGATAGTAGATGATATAGATAGACAAATAGACATATATAATAATACTATGTAATTAATTTATTGCATTATTATTATTATTATTATTATTATTATTATTATTTAAAAATTTCTATGTCCCATCTCGCCTAAAAGTTTAGTAAATCGCCTTTAGCTTCCCAGTCAGTCAATATGCATTCAGCAAGTGAAGCTGAAGGCAGCTGAGATTTCTTTCCCTCCACTTGGCCCTCTCCATTCTCCGCTCGCCTTTTTCCCCTTCGCCCTCTACACATGCCCAGAGGCACCATGCACATTCAGAAGCAGCTGTTCCCCCTATCCCACCGGCTTCCCCGCCCGTCCGTTGCTCCTCCCGTCCCTCAACCCTCCATTCCAGATTCACCCCAACACGCGGCTGGTCCTCATGGTTACCTTTCAAAATCCCCGTCTCGGATCCCACCCACACGTGGCTGCCCACCGCGGGAGACGCCATGTCTGCCTCAGCTCCGCTGGGTTTCCGGGTCGGAGCGATTAAAGTGACGGACCGGAACGTACGGCCCTGGCTTTGATTGGCTGACGCGCCGCTTAGGTGCGCCAACTATAATCGACCCCCTCGAGCTTTCCCCCCACTCTTCAGACGGTCCTGTCAATTTTGATACAGGGCAAACTAAAGCATTGGCAGAATAATTAGATTTATTAGAATAATTAGATTAGACTAATTAACGGGTTATTTTAATTATTGGTGGGGGGTTTCCCCCCAAGGGGTAGCTTTTTAATTTATCTATATATTTTTTAATCCCGCCTTTATTATTTTTATAAATAACTCAAGGTGTCAAACATACCTAATACTTTGTCCTCCTCCTATTTTCTTCATAATAACCCTGTAGGGTTGGGCTGAGTGAGGGACTGCCCCAAAGTTCCCCAGCCACGTTTCATGCATGTATATTTATATTTATTAGTTTGTCAAACATGTACAAGATAGCAGGTATAAATATAAACATGGACATAAACAAAAGAAATGAATACAAATAAATGGGGATATTAGGACAAGGATGGTGCTTATGCATGCCCCCTTTACAGACCTCTTAGGAATGGGGTGAGGTCCACGGACTAGAAATCACTATCTCTTTTTTTTCTAGGCTTAGTGCCTTAACTACTAGACCAAACTGCCTCTTAGAAATCATGCTTAGATGTCATCAGAACTGAAAGTCCCATTCATCCAGAGTCTTCTGCTTTTTCCCTCCCTCTTTTATCTGTTTCTTAATGCCAAAGAAGGATCTAAATTAAAGTAAGAAGCAAAGATAATCTTGTTGTTGTTGTTTTTAAAAATTTCACTGATCAGAAATAAGCATAGCAGAGATTTCAGCAGAGGCTTACTTTTATTTCACTAGCCCCCCACCCACCCACCCCAACAACATGGCAACATCACAAATTTTCTTTTGATTCCCTTCCCTCCCAACATTTTAGATAGTTTGACAATTGATGTTGTCTTCGCCCAAAAATATAGACTTCCAAAAACAGACAAGGAAAACCTAATAGATAAACGAAGGAATGGATAGAGACAAGGGGTAACGGTGAATAAGTGACCACAGAGCCCAGATAAATATTATATGACACTGCCACTCTCCCGCAACATTTAAAATTACATTTCATGAGGAAACACAGATATCTGATTTTTTCCACAGAGGATTGCTATACCTTTCAAGGAAATTTTAAAAGTCTAGCAAAATCTGTCCAACAATAGGGATGCACTGTCAAAATATATTTTTCTTATGCTTAATCCCAACAGCCAAGATTACAATAACAACACAAATGGAGAGAACTTCCAGCCTGTGATAAGATCATGAGTGAACCATTCTGAAGAAATTGGGGACATCCTGTCAGGGAGAAGGAGAGCAGGAACAATAAAATCTCAGGTAAAAGAGAAAAAAAGGCCTTCAAAACAACGTCTTGTTTTTGCTAGTTGAAATCTCTTCTTTTAGCAGGCGAGGTAGAGTCGCTTGACATGGGTGGTACATTTGCAAAACCTGGCATCTTCAGGAAAGAGGAAAAGGAAAGGGGGAAAGGAAAGGAGGAGAGGAGATGAAAGGAAAGGATGAAGAAAGAAGAAAGGGAAAGGAAAGGAAAGAGGGAAAGGAAAGAAGGAAGGGAAAGGAGATGAAAGGAAAGAAAGAAGAAAGGAAAGAGGGAAAGGAGATGAAAGGAAAGGATTAAGAAAGAAGAAAGGGAAAGAAAAGGAGAGAGGGAAAGGAAAGAAGGAAAGGAAAGGAGATGAAAGGAAAGAAAGAAGAAACGGAAAGAAAAGGAAAGAGGGAAAGGAGATGAAAGGGAAGGATGAAGAAAGGAAAGGAAAAGGAAAGAAAGAAAAGAGGAAAGGGAAAGAAGGAAAGGAGAGGAGATGAAAGGAAAGGATGAAGAAAGAAGAAAGGGAAAGAAAAAGAAAGAGGGAAAGGAGATGAAAGGGAAGGATGAAGAAAGAGGAAAGGAAAAGAAAGAAAAGAGGAAAAGGAAAGAAGGAAAGGAGAGGAGATGAAAGGAAAGGATGAAGAAAGAAGAAAGGGAAAGAAAAAGAAAGAGGGAAAGGAGATGAAAGGATGAAGAAAGAGGAAAG